AAAATTGTCCCATATCATAGGTGCGCGCGGATCCCAAGACTTACGGTCTCCGTCCCCGACTATATGGGTCCTGATTTTATCTAATTTAATTTGTCGGATTTTTGCAAGTAGTTTTGTTGTAGTTTTATTTTACGCAGAAAATTTAGATTAAACCTCTGAAGGAGACGAATCTGGTCGTAGCCCGATTTAAGCTTTAATTTTTTGACCCCTAAAAGAGACCATTTTAAACAGGACAGATAATCGGGCATCGAATACGCTCATCAGTACAGAACTTTTAAAGGTTGCTTGTATAATTGATCTAAAACACCAACATAACATGACAGTTAGTTCTGAAATCCTCCGAGCGATCAGAGAAGTTAAAATTGTGCCAATTAAGAAAGGAAAGGAGATGGGAATGAGACTGCACTTCTCGCCGCTACATCGTTCTTCGTTCGTGTGTTCGTGTCGCAAGCTAAGGAAAGACAATTTTCTGTATAACCTTTGTATTGCAACATTTTTAAATCGCTACTCTGAAAGTGTCGTTCTTTTGAAAACAAAAGCTGCGCGTCTCCTCAAAAGTGAAAATAATTGATACTGAGAGCCACCATGCTTAATGAATTGCATCTCAAAACGCTGCACTTCTGGGTGACGAAAATTGCATTGAATTGCGTGACAGAAGTCACCTGTGTTACAAATCAATCATTAATTATGACCTCGATATAACGAACATTTAAATTTGGTCGTTTCCCCTCAAATTCGTTATATCGAGGTTTTCGATATAAAGAACCCTCGATTTAACGAACAAATCTGGCCGGTCCTCACCGACTTCGTTAAATCGAGGTTCCACTGTAATTAGAACTATTCGCCATTGCTGTTATATTCAAACAAGCTTTGTTTACCAGTGTTTTTCCTGCATTTAGTCAGTCATGTTTCAAATGATATCGAAGTGTATAAACGAAGCGATGGCTGAAGCCGATTTCAGCATTAACAGTGGAGAAGCTAGCCTCCACTGAGAAACACCACCGAAAAATGCGAGTTATTCCTCTATTTCAAGCTTTTGCATCTCATTGCTCTCTGCCGAATACTTAGCGCATGTAAAAATTGAATGTAGATATCACGTTGGATAACTGTGTAAACATTCAAAACACTCGTGTTCCTGTTTTTCTGAGAAAGCGGTTCAGAGTTTAAGCATCTTTTGGGGTATCGGATTACTCTAGGCATCCTTGGCATTCATCAAAACGAAGGTGTATTTTAAAACAAACACCCAGCATCGAAATCAAAAGCGGCTAGCTGCTATCATTCATATTGTTTTCGAAAGGAACACAATTCAACTCTTGGTAAGTGTTAGTTTGCTATTTGCTTTTGGAGTGTCTCCGAGTAAAGAGGCAATTCTAACCAAGGAACATAGTCTAGCTCTTTCACATGGCGATATCTGCGTGCAAGACAGTTGGCCATCAAAGCAGCTCGATCCATCAAATTTAGCAATCGAGGGCAGGTCAGCAGTGAAAAAAGGAGCAAGCAGAGGCTAAGGGGAAAGAAAAACGATTCCAATTGCCTAGTGAGCCGTCTCTTATGAAGGGAACGTAGCATGTAACACGTGCATCGACTAAACAAAAGATCAAGGGCAGATGCTTTTCTCGTGTTTATGTTTGTGTTGCTGTGAATCACAGCGAAGAAAGCATATAAGAGAAACAAGTGTGTTCTAACTTATTTTAGCTAAAGAATTTTAAAAGTTCTAAACTCAGTACTCCCATATTTTCCCTCATTAGTTGTATTTGCCTACAATGGCATCACAGCGAATTAGTTCTTACAATTCATGCGACTATTTTCAAACTGACTCATCGAATAAAACTTTGCAAAACTAATGGAACGAAATTACCGGCTGGATAACCCTGGGGAATGTGTTTTCATATTTTAAAATCATATTGTCTTCGCTAAAGTTTGATATGAAAGAACTGCATGTCATGAGAATCGGTGAGGGAAGTATGTGTGTTGCTTGTGATGCAGCCGGCTAAAATGCAGGACTGAATTGAATTTCGATCCAAGTGAACATGGAATAAGCTGGTTCGTTGGAAACATATTTGCGTCAGATTGAATACTGTGAAACGGGCAATTGTCTTTTTGCTTTTCCCGGAAGACTGTAGATCATAGAGTTTGGGACAGTTTGCGTGCTGCAGAGTCATATTTCTTGAGTATTGGCTAGAAATTCCCGCTTAGAAGCAATCAGTTGTAATTGACTGTTGCTTTAAAAATTATCCCAGAAAACGAATTGAGGCATAATTCTCTTAATCATAAACATTTCAGCTCCTCGGTAAATGTCAGCTTTCTTGCTAAACACAAATTTAAGTGAGACTGTTTGAGGTCAACTGCTCACAACTGCTATCGTTTGACGGAAACCTTGAATTTTGCAATGTGGCTTACATCTTTCACTGATTTTCGCTTGCTACGAAATCTGCGGTCAGTGCACTGAGTATAGATTTTAAATTATTGCTAGCTCTGTTAATTTGTGTCAATTTTATTCAAGGACAAATGAAAAGAAAGGAGTATAGCTGAATAACATCAGCTTTGTTATCATTGCGAGTCCACTGATGCAAACACATTTTCTTTTAGAAAAACTTAGCAAATCTTTTCATGTGGTCACTGAGTTTGTCACCTGCCTTCCTTCAACTAATCTTTTAAATGCCTTCTGTAAGTCACAAAGATATATGCATTATCCAGTTCAATGACTGGATATCAGATCTTACAAATTCTTATGGCCTCTCTGGTTGAGGTGACTCAGAATTTTTAGTCGTGGAAATTCGAAACGACTGTTGTTATGGGGCAAAATATGCAAATGCATCACACACTCAGATGTAAACTTTTGGCCGATAACATGGAAAGCCTGGAACCTCCAAACGGTTGAGAGCGGTTATTTTGGGTTCTGTGTTTCGCTTTAGTAAATATGTAGTATTTTGTCTAGGGCTTTTGCTCACACGTAGATTAAAACTGAGAGAGGTATTTATGACTGTGATCATGTATCGGTCACAATAGCGCGGCCGGCGAGGTCAAAGAATTGTTACAAGTCAAAGTCAGGAAGTGACTTTACCAGACGTGGCTCATGGCTTTTGCTAGAGAATTTGTTGGTTTTTCACTCGCTTTCTCTCCTTCTAGAGTCCAAGGTAAGCCTAAAGTAGCCTGTTTCTGTATTGTATTTTTTAATTACACATTGAAATTCTGGTGCTGTTCGTATCTTAAATTCAAAACCCATGATTTAATTATTTTGTTAAAATAAATAAGCTTACTTCAAGCAAAAAACTCAAATTGATTAAACTTTTAATTTCGTTGTTCTTCACACTACAATTCTTCTGTATTCTGTGCAGTTCGACCAGAGTAAGCATTTCTTCATGAATGGTATACAAGTAAGCATCCACGATCGAGTAAATATGCTCTAAAATTTGAGTGATGGATAGAAGAGCATCCAAGAGACCGTGTGGATCTACTTTTTGCAAGAAAGATTTACAGTCCAATCATGGCAAACACAAGCCATGTCAAACAGTCATAGTGACTGGTGATGTATGTATAATCTTATTTTTCTTCTAGAAACGAGATATGTAAACAACTGGAGTCAAAACTAGGCAGGTACAAAAGTCGGACCGGATCAACTCAAACCGCCAGTCCGGGTCGGATCAACTCGGATAGACTCGGATCGTCTCGGATCATGAAGAAAAACATAAAATTAAATGAAATTGAAACTTTTACCCATTTGAAGGTTAAAATTCCGGTCAAAAATGGGCCAAATTTAGAAAGACTCGCGTTGTTTCTCCGTGTCGTGCTGTGTAGTTAAGCCGCCATTTTGTGTTCTAAGCGCCAGTTCCTCAGGACTCGTCTCGTGTTCCTCCATCCATCCATCCATCCGTCGATCTCCACGATCATGGACCCAGATTGAGGTAAATCTTTCTCAATGAATTTGTATCTGTCCACCAAATTGATAGTTTCAGTCATAGCCCATTTCTGTTGCGCTGCGTGATTTCGCAGAAATTCGCTTTACTTCCGTTTGGCTCCTAATTTGGAGAACAGGAAGTTGACAGATTTAGCTAATCATTTAGCAAAACGTGGCCTGCTTGACGACTGAGGGGATTTCAGTCCAAAATGGTTGACGTTTTATACGAACGAGCTTCAAAGATCCTGAAGATAGTTTTGAGGAGGACGACAATCCGAAAGGTATTTCAAGTAATTAAGAAAGTAATTTTATAGTTAGCGCGAAAAATTGAGCTGAACGAACTCACGTGAGCTTCGCAATATCTTCATCTACTTATCCTGAAAACAGAACAGAAAACGAGTCAATCTAGAATTAACTACGATTTTTTTTGTCCGTGTAAACAGAAGGATTGCGTTTCACTCCTCATGGCAATCGCCAGTAGCGTCCATGTCCGCGTCCTAATATCGCAATAAAACGAAGCCTTTATCCAAAGTTACGGAGCTCTACACTCCCAAAAACGACTCACTACACATTATTCAATAACTAGCGAGATTCTAAACATAAAAACGGTGATCCGAAGAGTATTTAGTTGCATTTGAACAACAGGTTTATGTTAAAGTTAGCGTGATAACTATTTAGTTTCTGCTGACTTAATACATGACTGTAGATGTAGATGTAGAAATTTTGTTCTTCCATTTCTTAAGTGTCCTTTACCCATAAACGCCTCCACCCTCGTCAAGCGACGCACCCTCCCAATTTGGTTTTCCACAAAGCGTCTATTATAACCTCTAGCAGTCAAAAAATCACTCAAGTCCCTCACCCTCTTTTCAAAAAACTCCGACTTCGAACAGATTCTTCTCAA